GGCCAGGCAGCCCTGGGCTCCAACGGGGCTGCTCCTTTAACAAAGCCCGACAGAATTCCCCGTCCAGCGGGACCCCGCGCCCGTTCCCGGGGCCGTTCCTGGGGCCGTTCCCATTCTGCTTCAAGGCTGGCTGACCGGCCGGACGCTGACGCTGACTGCGTAGACGCGGCTCGCAGCGCGGTTCCAGATGCTGTTGGCCCCCAGGAGGATGTAATTAGAATAAGGGGCTTTCTGGGTGGAAGACGTGAAAGAAAGAAATGCTCTGTCTCTTTGAAATCAAGTCGTTAAATAATAAGAGACGGGGGCGGGCGGGGGGGGGGGGGTTCGCCTTTCGGTCTTCAAAGCGAAATCGTGACCTGCAATTTTCTTAATGGGTTCTGTGCTTCCGACTGCTGGGCCGAGGTGAGGCGGGGAGAGGACAAGCCGGAGGCCGAAGGAGGGGCAGCCCGGGGAGCCAGCGGGGGGCAGGGGGGCGGGGGGCGTACCCCCTTGCGTCCCGTCTTTTACTCGGGATGGACCCGGGACGCCGACTGGGGACTCCTGGGGCGCCTCGCCCCCCTGCCCCTCCCCACGCGCTCTGGGGACGGGGCCGTGTGGCTGTGGAGCGAGGGCGAGCTGGACGCCGGCCGTGGCACAGGTGTGGACGTGGTTGGGCGAGACGCCCCGGTGCCCAGTGTGGGCCTGTGGCTCCAGGACCGGGATCAGACTGGGTTCCTGAAGCCTCGGTGCCAAGTAAAGCCTTGTTGCCATGGGACTGGATGCGCTTCTGCTTCTAGAACAGTCCTAGGATTTCGCGTTTCCTGCTCATCCCTGATTTGTCTGTTCTTCAAATGGAAGAGGTGTCCTCCCGACGCAAGATGCCCTTAAGGGTTTCTTGACCCCCGACTTCCCCATGTGCTCTGTGTCGTCCGTCCCCCCCCCCCCCCCGAGCGACCGTGTGCTGTTAGAGCCAGAGCTTTAGCGACAGCCGGCCTGGCTCTGGCTTCTCCACGTAGCACACGGGGCTAGTACCTTTGCGAGGATTACCTGGAGTTCTCTGGATGCCGCGCCGGGCAGTGGTGTAGACAGCCGTAGACAACTCACTAACGGTCGCCGGGGTTGACGCCGTCACCGTCATTAGGCCCCGCAGAGTCCGACCTCAGAAGATCCCACCGGGCTGCGAACACTAAGCCCAGGCCCTTCGGGGCGTGAACCCAGCAAAGGATTTCTGTGCTCGCGTCCGTCCTCCGCTCCCGTGTGCAGATAATACGTTCCACGCGTGGAGTCCCCACTGTCCCCGAAGCAGTCCTGCCTCCGGGTGCCCCTCCTGGAAGCGCCCCCTCCGCTGCCCGGAGCTGCCTAGGCTGCCCCGCCCCCAGGTCCTTCCTTTCCGCGGCCCCACGGCCCCGTGAGTCAGAGGTGCCGTCCGTGCGTCCTGGGCTTCCCAGGCAGCTGCCTTGAGCAGGTTACCCACACCGAGCGGGGACTTGGCGCTCACCCCGCGGCCCGGCTGGAGATGTAACAGGAGGACGCCGTGGCGAGCCCCGGGGGCGGAGGGTCCAAACCGGGGGGCAGGCGCCCGGGTTAGGCTTAGACGGCGTCGGAAGGTCGGTGAAGCGTCCATAACCTGCGTTCGGGGGAAGCCGCACCTTCGGTACAGGCGTTGCCGTCAGGAGGTTGAGGAGCGTGGGTGGGGCGACGGCGGCAGAAGTGGCCCGGCCTCCCCTGCGCCCAGCACAGCCCCCGTGGGGGCCCAGCGCCTCGGGGAGGGCTGCCTTTCGTCGCTTCCCGAAAGCGAATGTCCCGTCCCCTGAGCTGTTTGCAGGCTGCTCCCTGCGCTGTCTTTAAAGCATCCCCTGCTCTCGGTTTTAACGAACGGGCCCGATGATCGCGTGGGACAGGCAAGTGCCCTGGGATGGGAGCTTGCCCTCCCCTGTAAGGCGGCCCGGACGCCTCCTCCGCACGCTGGGGCTCCCGCTGACCCCGTCCAAGCCGCCCCCTGCTCGGCCCAGGCCCGCAGCCGCAGGAAACCCGGCCCCTTCCCGGGGGCCCTCCTCTCCGCAGAGAAGGCCAGCAGCGTCCCCACCGCACTCCTGCCATCTCCCGGATGCTCACGTGCCCTCGAGGCCCAGGGACATGTCTCTACCCCGTCCAGCAGGGCAGCTGCTGGCCCGAGGCGAGCCCCCCGGCCCAGAACGGAGCCGGCCGGGGCGAGAGGCCCTGGGTCCGCGGCATCTGTGTGCACCCCCCTCCCCGCTCACCTGCCGCGGCTGCTCGCCCACTCCCGGCCTCACTCAGGGAACCCACGGCCCTTCCTCCAGGACGTTCCAGGAGCCCTACTGGGTTTTGCCTCAGTGTCTGAGGAGAGAACGTGTGGTCGCAGGTCAGGGACCTCGGCTAGAAGTTCCTACTAAAGAGCCCGGGTCCGCAGTAAACTGTGGCGAGGTCAGCCCCCGTCCTGGAGGGAGGGATGGGGTGGCTGTGGAGGGAGCTTTGCCGTGGGGACGTGTCCGCGACCCCGGGCACCGGGACACAGAGCGGGGAGCCGCCCTGAGCAACCCAGAGAGCCCGGTGAGGGCCCTCCGACGGCCCGGTGCCCACCCCGCTGCCTGGGAACCGCAGGACGGCTGGCCTGGCCCTGCCAAGCCGGGGAGCCCCTCCCTGCCCCGTCGGGTCCCTGCGCCTCGTGCCCGGGTTGCAGCTGCAGACGCCCTTCACTGTGAAGCGGGCCCCAGGCCCATGGCCGGGTGCGGGGTCCCCGGGCTCAGCTCTGCAGCCCCCCAAGAGGCATCTGCAGCGATGTGCATGGGCCGCGCCCTTGGCAACTCCAGCTGGGGTCGCGGGGGGTCGGCACAGGGTTGGTTCCGAAAGCTTTGGCTGGGACCAGCCCCAGGCCTGGAGGAGAGCAAGCCCGCCGCGCCCCCACCTGGGCTTCGGGCCCCCCCCCGCGCGCCCAGTGCCCATCAGGGCCCTGCATGGGGCACACACACGGCACACATGGGCCTTCGGGGTGGCCGGGCCTCCCCCTGTGGACCCTGGGGTGCAGCGCAGCAACCGGAGGAAGCGGCGCTCGCACCTCGCGCAGGCTCTGACGGGTCAGCAAAGGTCTCTAGCGCCGTCGTGGCTCCGTCATCCAGAGAAACGGTGTGAAGATGAACAGGTTTCAGGGCCGCCGCGGCTGAGGGGCACCCAGGGCCCGTCCTCCGGGTCCCTGACCCCGCGCTGCAGAGCCTGTGTGCGTGGGCTGCAGGCAGGCCTTGCTCGTCGCCCGGCTCCAGGCCTCAGGGCCACGCAGGGCTTGCACGGGGCTTGTGGGGCTTGCATCCTGCTCTGTCTCCAGGAGGTGGGACATGTGGAGCCCTGGGGGGAGGGCAGAGCCGAAGCCAAGCCTGCTGTGTGCACTCCGCTTCCCAGGCTGGGGCGGGGCTGGGCTCTGGGTGCCCTGGGGCCACCGCACCTGCGTGACCTCTCCTGCCCCTGCCCACCCCCCTCCCCCCCCAATGCCGTCGGCCTGGTGGCTCCTTCTCTGTTGCTGGGCCTGCATCTGTCCCCCTCCGCCCCCCTTCCCTTTCCTTCTCCGTCTCACTCACCTGTGCCCCTCCCTTTATGACCCCATGTTGGTAGAGACCCTCTGGTCGTCTTGGAGCCGTGGCCAAGCTTCCATAGGGCCGGGCTACCGGGGAACGCAGGGTGGGGCCTTGTCCTTGCCCGAGGGCCCTGGAGAGGTCCGTGTTCCCGAGGGCAGATCCAGACTCGTCCTCATGGGTGGCCGCGGACCTGACCCCGGGCCACGAAGGGCGGAGGCGCAGGGCAGGCCTTCCTGCCACCAGGTCGTGAGCACCTGGGTCGTGAGCACCTGGGTCGTGACCCGCTGCCACAAGGGTTCCCCTTGCTCTTCTGAGAGGCCTTTGTCTCTGAACAATGTTCCGCGTGTGACACAAGCCGGGCCTCCCGTCCCTGCGCAGCACGGTCCCTGGCGCACCTGCGAACCTACCGTGATCCCACCTCAACAAACCTGATTCACAGGAGATCACCTGGAGGCACTGGGGGGCTCAGCGGTTGAGCATCTGCCTTCTGCTCGGGTCGTGATCCCGGGTCCTGGGATCGAGTCCTGCATCAGGCCCTCTGCTCCTCCCTTTGCCTCCGCCTGCTGCTCCCCCTGCTTATCCTCTTTATCTTTCTCTCTCAAATAAACAAAATCTTAAAAAGAAAAATCCCCTGGAGAGCCTGTCACAGGTCCTTGGGCGCCTCCCCAAGACCCTGATTCAGTAGGTCCAGGAGCAGGGTGTGACCTTGGCTCTCCAAGGGGCTCCAGGGCATGACCTTGGCTCTCCAAGGGGCTCCAGGGCATGACCTTGGCTCTCCAAGGGGCTCCAGGGCATGACCTTGGCTCTCCAAGGGGCTCCAGGGCGTGACCTTGGCTCTCCAAGGCTCCAGGGGCTCCCAGGGGGGCCGCCCTCCCCACGCCGGCCTCCCGCGTGTGTCTGTGCTGCTCCCCCTGGGCTCCTGGGCTCCAGGCCCCTCCCGGCCCCGGCGCCTCCTCGCCTGCCGCAGGCTTGTCCGTACCTGAGCTGTGGCCTACATCAGCCGCGGGCTCGTCCTCTACAAACCACGTTGGAACCGTACCTATTTCACTTAGGGTAACGCACCCCGAGGCCCTTGCGCGCCATCCCGTTGCCGCTCGGCCTCACCTCGGGGGTCGGGCGCCGCCCCGTGACTGCCTTCTGGCTTCTTGCCTCTGAAACGCGGTTCTGGGAAGTCTCTCTTGAAACGAAGGTCGAAGGTCGCTGTCGCTTTGCAAAAGTTAAGGTGCGGTCGCGCAGGGGCAGGCCCTACACGCTGGGTCCCTCGGAGAGTCCGTTCAGTGTTCCACATGGTAGGGGCACGGTGCACGGTGCGGGGAGGCACGAGGGGCCGGCGCCTGCGGTCCCGGCCCCGGAGACGGAGAGCGCCGAGGACCCCGTGCGGGGGAGCGGGTGGCGGGGGCCGCGGGTCTGAGCCACATGTCCTTCTCTCCGCAGCACGCCCGCCCGTGGCCGCCGCGGTGGTGTCCCACTTCAACGACTGCCCGGACTCCCACAGCCAGTTCTGCTTCCATGGAACCTGCAGGTTTCTGGTGCAGGAGGACAAGCCCGCGTGCGTGTAAGTGTCCCCTGCTGTCCTGAGGTCCCGGGGCCGGGGGCGTCCCTGCAGCCCGTGGGAGGAATGGGGACAGCCCCACCACGTGCCTGAGCCCCCGGAGCTGGGGGGGACGGTCCGCACAGCAGGCTGAGCGACACCTGCTTCAAAGCCCGGGGTTGAAGCTCTAGATTCCAGTGGCGGGACCCCGGGGTCTCCAGGGAGCGGGGGCGGGTGGGAGCCTGGGGATCTGCATCTGTAACAAGCACCCGGGGTCACGCCTGGGTTCGGCCGACTCTGAAAATCCCCGGGTCCAGGCGTAATTCCCTCGTTGGGGCTTCCGGAGGGCGGGGCGCCGGGTGGGGGCCCGGGGCCATCCTGGGAGGACGGGCTCTTGAGGGAAGCTCCCCTGAGCAGCCGGTGGGGTTTGCCCGGCGGGGAGGACGGGGAGGGGCCCAGGCCTGGGCGTCGGGGGACCTGCGGTGGCTCCAGCGGGGAGACGACACCGGAGACAAGTCGGAGGTCGGGGCCTGTGTTCTCTAGGCGGGGGGTCCACGCTGGTCTGGGGAAGGGGTGTTTAAGAAGCGCCGTCTGTCCGTCTGCCCATGTAGAACCCCCGGGGGGCGGCAGTCCTCAGCTGCGGGGCTCCGGGCCCTCCGGGGCGTCCAGGGACGGCAGCCCGGCCCCCACCCGCACGGCGCTGGTGCCCCCACCTCACAGTTGCCGCCATCACGAGCCTCCAGGTGGCCCCTGGGGGTGGGAGGGAACAAAACCCGCCCTCTGCCCGCCCCCATGGGAAGCCAGGAAGCCACCCATCGTGCGGTCGCCGCCCTTTCCTTTCCGTGGGTCACAACTGATAGAAAGGCAGCCGTTGCCCGTGGTCCAGTGTCACAGAACCAGTGAGGGACACTACAACGTCAGCAGGAGCTAGGATCTGGGCCCTGCGCTTCCGCGGACCCCGGTCCAGGCCCGCTCTGCAGGCTCGGCCACGCGTCCCCGTCAGGACCCCACGAGTCGGGCACACAGAGGTCGCGCCCGGGTGGCGGAGCAGGAGCTCCCAGCCACGGTGCCGCGGGTGTGCGTCCGCCCACCCCATGCTGTGCTTCTGTCCTCCGGAGGCGCAGCTATATGGACGCGGGCAGGGCCTGGAGCCTCACCCGGGGGGTGACCCAGCCCCGGCCACAGAGCGGGAGTCCCCCGTCCCCAGCCCGTGAATACAAAGCACGACGACGATTACTCAGGGTTACCATGTCTAATAAATTATACGCAAGGGCCCCCGGGGGCTGACGGGACCGCGTTGTCAGCAGCGCAGTGTGTGCGGGACACTCGAGCCCACAAAGGCCGCGGGGCACCAGGAAGCCCCGGTGCGGCCGGGACCCTCGGCGGGGACCCTCGGCGGGGACCATGGGCCCTCCGGCAGCACCCAGCGCACCCAGCTGCGCGGCGGAGGCTCCTCTTTGGAGAAAGACGGCGAGTCCCTGCCGAGTTGGGACCAAGTTTCAGCGCAGTTCCTCCCCGGGCCTTCCGCACCGGCCGGGGCTGCCGCAAGTGCTTCGAGAGCCGCCCGCCGGGAGCAGCACCGTCCGCGGCGGCAGAGCCCAGGGCAGCGGGCGGTCGCCTCTGAAGGCGGGGGCCCCGGGGGTTTTGTCCTCTTGGTTCTGGGAGCCTGGGGAGCTCACCGTCCACCACGTCTACGCAGCACTGCGTGTTCACAGTCAGGACGCCTGAGCCCCCGCCGCCCCCACCCCCGTTCACGCTGTAAATGTTACTAATCACGAGCTTTCTGGAAAAGCCGTAGCCGCGTGCAGGGCCTGGCTCCCCGCGCCCACATGCAGGGCCGCATGGAGTCCTCACGCCCCCCTTCTCGACTGGGAGTCCTTGTGCTTGCTGCATAGACGACCGCCTGGGCGGCCCCGCGGAAGCCGTCGGCCCAGGGCCCCCAAGCTGCCAAATGGCTGAGCTGAGGGTTCAGTCCACTCGATTCCAGCCCCCAAACCCGTGTTCTCAGCTCCTGCCCCACGAGGATCTCTGTTCGGCCCTAAAAAGCTCACCTGTTTAAACAGAGACGGCAGGTCCCCAATGGAGTCACCTGTGCTAAGCCCCCGCCGCCGTCCCCCAGGAGCGAGCTCAGCCGGTCGCCCAGGACGCCCCTGGGCAGCTCCCGTGACAGCACGTGCCTGAGGGGCCCCGTGTGCCCCAGAGAGACGAGGCCGCCCATGCAGGTGCCTCCCCCCGCTTCTACCTGCCGGGCGCCGCGGCCCCGGTCACACGTCGCTGCAGGACGCCGACGGGATCTCGACATTCGCTCAGCTCAGTCTTGCTCTTGAACGTCTCGAATCACTAGGCTCTTCTGTTTCCAAGAGAGGCATTGGCGTCTGCCCACCGCGCACACAGGGACGTCGGGGTCGCCCCCAGCCCTCCGCCCGGACCACCCAGCAAGCGCGGGATCTCCAGAAACAGCCGGGCCGTCCCTGTGGTTTGGAAAGGCCGACCACCTGTCGGGAGGCACAGCCCTGCGAGCACTGAGCGCCGCCTGACCTCAGTTTCCCCAGCAGACCTTGGCAGCCCAGGGGGTGGTAATCGGGCCACAGGTGTCTTCTACGTGGCAGCAGGGGACGATCTGCGTCATCCTTGAGGAGTTGCAGGAAGTTACCGGCATTTCAGAGGTCGTTTCTTTTTTTTTCTTTTTTAAGATTTTATTTATTTATTCATGAGAGAAGAGAGAGAGAGACAGAGACAGAGACAGAGAGACAGAGATACAAGCAGAGGGAGAAGCAGGCTCCATGCAGGGAGCCCGACGTGGGACTTGATCCCGGGACCCCAGGATCACTCCCTGGGCTGAAGGTGGCGCTAAACTGCTGAGCCACCCGGGGATCCCCAGAGGTCTAGTTTCACTGACCCGCCACCCTGTCCCCATCCCATTCCCATCCCATCCTGTCTCTGTCCCCATCCCATCACGTCCCTGAACCTGTCCCAGTCCCCGTCCCCATCCCATCCCCATCCCATCCCATCCCATACCCGTCCCCATCCCATCCCCATCCCATACCCGTCCCCATCCCATACCTGTCCCCATCCCGTCCCCATCCCATACTGGTCCCCATCCCCATCCCATACCCGTCCCCATCCCATCCCTGTCCCCATCCCATACCCATCCCCATCCCACACCCATCCCCATCCCATCCCTGTCCCCATCCCATACCCATACCCATCCCTATCCATCCCACCCTCCCATCCTATCCCCATCCCACACCCGTCCCCATCCCTATCCCAGTCCCATACCCGTCCCATCCTATCCAGTCCATACCCGTCCCATCCCTATCCCAGTCCCATACCCATCCGCATCCCATCCCCGTTCCCATCCCATCCCCGTCCCCATCCCATCCCTGTCCCTGTGCCATCGCCGCCCCATCCCCATCCCCGTCCCGTCCCATCCCAGCTCGCCCTCTCACCCCCACGGCTCCCCACTGCCCCGTGCTGATGCGGGTGTGGGCCCTGACCCACTCTGCTCACCATGTGAGCTTGGACATCTGGTGGGGACGGGACCATGCCACGGACCCTTGTGTCTGCGGTTCCTAGAAGACTGGGATAACTAATCCCCCCCAGAGCGGGAACTCCCAGTCTGGGCTGAGAGCGGAACATTCTGTCCCCACTCGCATGAACGGCCCCTTGGGTTGCTGACACTCACTCCGGCCAATAAAACCAGCCTTCCTGGGGATCCCTGGGTGGCGCAGCAGTTTGGCGCCTGCCTTTGGCCCAGGGCGCGATCCTGGAGACCCGGGATCTAGTCCCACGTCGGGCTCCCGGTGCATGGAGCCTGCTTCCCCCTCCTCCTGTGTCTCTGTCCCTCTCTCTCTCTATCTATCATAAATGAATAAATAAATCTTTAAAAAAACAAAACAAAACAAAACAAAAAAACCAGCTTTCCTTCAAGGCCAGCCAGCTGTGTCACGGCCTTATAAAGGCCCGTAGTGACCCGAGATCATAATCGAAGACGCGGGGGCTCCTTCTAAGCTACTGTCGTGCCTCAGCCTTGTTTTCTATGAGAAGGACGGTCTTCAGGATTCCGGAGAACCTGGAATGACGTCTCACCCCGAAGTGTGAGCTGAAGTCAGAGCACAGCCCGTCAGACGTCAGACGCAGCCGTCGGTAGTGAGCGAAGTCCTTGGGCCCCACGTTTCAGCTGAACCGCGGGCGGTGCTTGCGGCTTCCTTCAGTAGGTCCCCACGGGGGCAGCAGGAGCACGCGGGAACGGATTTCCAAGGACAGCAAAGCCCCAGGAGTGCGGGGTCGGTACTTGCACGGCCTTTCCCCCGGGGCACACTCAGCCCGGGGGCCGCTGCCTGCGGGGCCTTGGAACAAGGGAGAACCGTCGGAGAAAGACGCCCAGGTGACCTGTCCCGAGGGTTCCCGGGGCTCAGCCCATGGCAGCCGCTCCGAGGCTTCCCTCCAGCGACGTGCTCTGCGGTGCCCGAACCCCGACTTCACGTTCCCGCAGCAAACACGGGTTGCTGAACCAAAGGAAGCCTGTCCCATGGGCCAGGCCGGGCACGTTGTCGGGGGCTCCGCACAGAGGCCAGCGTCATGCGGGGACGTGCCCTCCGCCCTGGCCGGCTGCGACGTGACCAAGGAGGGGAGTGCAAGGTGGAGGTGCGGGCAGGTGGGGCCCGGGCCACGTGGCGCAGATCTACGTCCAGCGGGCGGCAGGCGGTGCAGGGGCCACGCAGTCGATGTTGGGGCGCCGGGCGGCTCTGTTGGCAGGGCCTGCGACTCTTGATCTCGGGGTCTTGAGTTCAAGCTCCACATTGGGTGTAAAAAATACGGGAAGAAGTCACGAGGTCGTGCCATCCGTAGGCCTGGCGAAGGGGCGCGTCCTCACTCCCACGCTGCCCCCAGCAGGAGCGCACCCCAGGGCCCCGCAGGCACCAGGCGATGAACGGGCCTCGAGCCCATGTGGCTCCACGGTCTGTTCCATGAGGCGTCCCGTTGCGGGGCCCTGTCCCGAGCACATCGTCTGCAGCACAAAC